TTAGATGTTGCCATGGTTTAATTGCACATAACATGTAAACATTCACAGTGCAGGGAGGAAAAAGTATGTGAACCTTTGGACTTAATAACTGGTTGACCCTCCTTTGGCAGCAATAACCTCAACCAAACGTTTCCTGTAGTTGCAGATCAGACCTGCACAATGATCTGGAGTAATTTTGGACCACTCCTCTTCACAAAACTGTTTCAGTGTAGCAATATTCTTGGGATGTCTGGTGTGAATCGCTCTCTTAAGGTCATGCCACAGCATTTCAATCGGGTTGAGGTCAGGACTCTGACTGGGCCACTCCAGAAGGAGTATTCTGTGCTGTTGCAGCCATTGTTTTGGTGAATTACTTGTATGCTTTGGGTCATTGTCCTGTTGCATCACCCATCCTATGCGGAGCTTCAGTTGGTGGACAGATGGTTGTACGTTTTCCTGCAAAATGTCTTGATAAACTCTGGAATTCATTTCCCCCATCAATGACAACAATCCGTCCAGGCCCTGAGGCAGCAAAGCAGCCCCAAACCATGATGCTCCCTTCGCCATGTTTTACAGTGCGGATGAGGTTTTGATGTTGGTGTGCTGTGCCTTTTTTTCTCCACACATAGTGTTGTGTGTTCTTCCCAAACAACTCAATCTTGGTTTCATCTGTCCACAGTATATTTTGCCAGTAGTGCTGTGGAACATCCAGGTGCTCTTTTGCAAACTTCAAACGTGCTGCAATATTCTTTTTGGACAGCAATGGCTTCCTCCGTGGTGTCCTCCCATGTACTCCATTCTTGTTTAATGTTTTCCTTATTGTAGATGTGTCAACAAAAATGTTAGCATGTGCCAGAGATTTCTGTAGGTCTTTAGCTGACACTCTGTGATTCTTCTTTACCTCATGCAGCATTCTGCGCTGTGCTCTTGCAGTCATTTTTACAGGACGACCACGCCTAGGGAGAGTAGCAACAGTGCTAAACTTTCTCCATATGTAGACAGTCTGTCTTACCGTGGACACATGAACATCAAGGCTTTTGGAGATACTTTTGTAACCCTTTCCAGCTTCATGCAAGTCAACAATTCTTGATCGTAGGTCTTCTGAGAGCTCTTTTCTGCGGGGCATGGTTCACATCAGACAGTGCTTCTTGAAACCAGTAAACCCAAAACAGGTGTGTGTTTTTTAAGGGCAGGACAGCTGTCAGCAACACATCCAATATCACCACACTGATTGGAGTAAGGTTGGCTCACTCCTGGCTCCAATTAGCTCTGGGAGAAGTCATTAAGCTAGGGCCTCACATACTTTTTCCTCCCTGCACTGTGAATGTTTACATGTTATGTGCAATTAAACCATGGCAACATCTAATGTTTGTGTAGTATTATGTTCAGCAGACTATGTTCTTCTATTGTTGTGACTTCTGAAGATGACGTTCAGAGCACATTTTATGCCCAATTCATGCAAAACTCCACGTAAGGGGTTCACATATTTTTTCATGCAACTGTATATCTGAAAATTGATCAATCCTAAAGTACTGACAGCCAATCTAATTTCTTGAGGACCAAAAATGTCAGAACAGTACAGATATCCCCCAAATTACCTCTTTTTGCAAAGTAGACAGTTTGATGTATTTCATAAGAGGCATGGCAAGTTTTTTGAAGTTGTAATTTTTTTGTCATTATTTTTGGAAAATGAAGAAATTAAATTATTTTCACAATTTTTTTTTTTACATACTATCACCAGTGCAGTACAGCATCATCATATAACTGGTGTGGTGGCGATCAGGGACACTGACTGGTGACAGTACAAAAATAAAATTGATATTTTTTTTTTTTTTGTTATTTTGTTATTTTTCATTAAAAAATTTCTCTTTTTTTAAGATTTTTTTTTTCATATTACACTATGACCAAAGTATTATAATGTCACCATCGTAACATTGTACTACTTTGGGGAAGTGATCAGTATTTTTATTTACACAATTTGATTGCTTATAGCGAAGAATTTCTTTGCTATAAGCAAGCAATTAACTGAATAAGATCGATTCATTCAGGTTTTTTTTGTTGTGATTAGCTGTGATTGGCCACGGCTAATCACATGACATAGATGGGCTGTGATTGGCCCAGCCTGTGCATGTGATCACTGTGACCATTCATATCTAGACACACTTGTATACAATGGATGGCATGAAAGGAAGACATCCATTCTTTACAACTGTCATGTGACCTGCTGTGATTGGTCACAGCAGGTCACAGGGTACTGGCAACAAGCCGGTACACAGATCTGTCATCGGCTGTGTCCGAGGTACACAGATCTTGCCACAGCGTGGCCCTGCGGGACAAGTGCAATGAGCAATCCGGGAAAAACGTCATATGACGCCCGCTTGGATCGACAAGAGTCCCGCATGGCCGTCATTTTCCTATTGGCCGGGGCAGGAAGTTGTTAAATTGCAATTAGTGTCAGTGTATAAATAGTCAATGAGTTTGTTAGCTCTCACGTGGATGCACTGAGGAGGCTAAATACTGAGCCATGGGGATCGGAAAAGAACTGCCGAAAGACTTGCATAGCAAGGTAATGAAACTTTATAAAGATGGAAAAAGATATAAAAAGATATCCAAAGCCTTGAATATGCCAGTCCAGAAGTACTGACAGCCTATCTAATTTCTTGAGGCTCAAAAATGTCAGAACAGTACAGATATCCCCCAAATGACCTCTTCAATCACCTATTAAGAAGTGGAAAATTCGGGGATCTCTTGATACCAAGCCAAGGTTAGGTGGACCAAGAAAGATTGCAGCCACAAATGCCACAAGGATTGTTCGGGATACAAAGAAAAACCCACAGGTTTCCTCAGGAGAAATACAAGCTGCTCTGGAAAAAGACGGTGTGGATTTTTGTAGGGTCTCAATAAGACGATACTTGAACAAAAATGAGCTGTGTTGTCCAGTTGCCACAAAGAAGCCTTTACTGCCCTAATGCCACAAAAAAGTCTGGTGAGGCATGTCAAGGTGTTGTTGGGCATTATGTAACTGTGCTTTTTTGTTGCATTGGTGCAGTAAAGGCTTCTTTCTGGCAACTGGACAACACAGCTCATTTTTGTTCAAGTACAGTATTGTCATTATGTCCTTAAAAACAACCACACCATCTTCTTCCAGAGCAGCCCATATTTCTAAACGAGTATATATACACATTTTCTTTTTAGCCTTTTTACAATATGAGGCTCAATGCCATTCACTTGTGGACATCTGTTGATGATTCTGTTGAGTCCTGCTACTTTCTGTACACACAGAAAGAGTGGCAGTAAGAAGCTACATATAGCATCCTTACTTACTGTATTTATTTAGAGTGAATCTCCCTCAATGAAGACACTTTAAAGCTGTATAATGATTAATGATGGCTATTTTAAAACTGACGTTTAATCCATTATTAATTTGCTTTCCTGGTTCCTCTCCTTTCATCAAAATACTAATGAAATGTTCCAATTCTTTCCAATTTCATTACATACCTTGTTTTAGCCCTAGTGACATCTGGGTCTCTGTGTTTCTCTATGGGATGCAGGCATGTCATGGCTGGATGGAGTTGTTAGAAGGGTGCTGTACATAGCTTGCTGAAAACAACGTGCCTCAGTTGCCTTTTCAAGAGCCCTTTGCCTTGGTGCAAACATTGGTTGGTTATTGGGAGGAATTCTGGAAATACCAAAATGCCAAAATGGGTGGATACCAGTATGGCGGTGTCAGCATTCCTAGGCAGCGTGCATCAGCAGATTGTAAGAACTAAAATCCATTAGATGAAGGGGGTGGGCTAGGGACGGTCTGGCTGGAGAAGAAAGAGATAGATGATGTTGGAGGTCCTCCAACCAGTTAATGTGATGGACATGCACACTGTGAAAAGGTCACAGTAGTAGTGAAATCAGAAAAAGCTATTTTAGTACGAGAGAGAAGTCCAAAAACTGAAAACTGAAGGTAAGCTGGACTTCAGTGTTAGCCCAAAAGGCTATGTTTAAAAAAGCACCTCATATTGTCCAGGTACAATTGCAGCTACTACAGCATCAGTGGCTGCTTCACTGATATGTGACAACTCAGTGTTTGGTGAAACACAGACTTATAATTAAAGCCATTTTATTTAGTTTTTGATAGAGGCATGGAGGGTTAGAATCTTTCAGGGTATCTGAAACCCATTGGTGAAATTGTTTTCACTTTTTGCATGGTCACCAGGATTGAAAAGAAAGAATCTCTACAATTGACATAGAGTCCAACTTATCCTTAGTCTATCAAATGCTTTAAAAATCAGTTTTCTCTGAAAATGTGCTGGTGTGTCATAAAAGAGATTTGAAGCAGGTATAAGTCATTGGGATCTCTGTGACACAGACCTTTCATTGACTGTAATTCATTTATTCTCAGCAACAAAATGCTAAGCCCTGGCATTCCGTAGCTGCAATAAACTGTTGCTACAAAATCATGTCCCTAAAAAAATGCCACATATACATTGATTTTATTTGATCGTTTGGGTTTTTTTGCCCTCTTCAATAGTGGCAAGTCACTCTTAACCTCCCTGGCAGTATGATTATTTCAGATTTTTGGTGCTGAAAGGGGTACCATTATTTTGCATGGAAATATGTAGTTTTTTTATTGTAGGCTGTAATTTTTAGGAATAACTCACTGAAAATCTGTCCGAACAAGAGTCTAGTAAACATCCCGGGTATGATAAAACTTGAAACACAAAATCATAAATTATAATTTAATAAATAATCATAAAAAATAATAATATAATAATAATAAATTTAATTCAATAATATAATCAAACCAAAAACACTGAAATTTGAAATAGAGAGCCAAGTTCGCACATCACTGAGCAAAGTCGCAGAATCGTTTTCAGTGTCTGATGACGAATTTCCCCACAAATCATTATCACTCAATTCTGCAAGTGGTTCTAATTTACTATCGCTGTTCTCTAGCTGGTCTAAAACCGATTTTGACCTAAAGGGACGCTTTTTGGACGCCATGGACGTTTCTCAGTTTCCAGGCGTAAAGAACAGTAAAAATGCAGGCAGGGCACAGGACAAAGCAGTAGGGACAAAATGTATGTGAAATGGTCTGATACAGTAATGTTTTACTATGTAATAATCGTTTTTAAAAAAATGACATTTTTTAAAACTTTCAAATTTGCCGCCGGTTCTGGTGCCTGTACGTCCTGACGTCACAGGGGCTGGAACACGGAAGCCAGATGCCGGCATCGGCCGGAGGAGATGGCCGGTGATGCTGCAGGGGACACACCGTGGGAGCGAAGGACAAGGTAAGTGCTGCAGGGAATCCCTGAGCAATGCCGCATGGTAAGCCCGAGTGTTGCTCAGGGTTACCGCTTGTGGTACTGAAACTTTACCCCGAGCTACACTCGGGAATACCGCCAGGGAGGTTAATGATAAATTGGCCATCTCGCATTTCATTTTAGCCTACCAATTTTAGAAGATGGTTTATTCATTTATTATGTGTTTTTTTAATATTTCCTTTTTTTGCCAGAACTGAACCAGCAGAGGGATGTTTAAACTAGATTACAGTAGAACAATATCTAAAATTTTTTAGCCTAAAGCAAACCAGGTCTTTGTACTCCCCATCCTCTAAGCAGGAAGGTATTAACTGCTTGCCCTCTGCCCTACAGCAGAAATACTGCTACAGGGCGGCAGGGGTGCGCAAAATCACGTATATATATGTGATTTTGCATTTCCTGGTAGGGGACGTGAGAGAGCCGCATGCGCACCCTACCCATGCCGCCATTCACGGCCTCAGCTGTCAATCACTGGGTCCCTGCCGGTGATTACTTGCCATCATCTGGTGATCACTGAGTAATTTCTAATGGGGGAGAGACCTGTGTATAAACAACACAGATCTCTCCACTGTCAGCTCCTGCACACTGTATCATATGGCTCTGCTTTGCAGAGCCATACAAATCAGTGTGCTTACAGTGGAAAGCACACACACAGCATACTGTGAAACAGCACATGGCCCACAGTTAACCCTTTGATCACCCCACATGTTAACAACTTCTTGCCCAGTGCCATTAGTACAGTGTCAGTGCTTTTTATTAGCACTGATCACTGTATTGGTGTCACTGAGGATGTCAGTGACACCAAGTCAGTTCCCCCCCAGTGTCAGAATGCCCGCAGCAATCCTGCTATAAATCGCTGATCACCACCATTACTAATAAAAACTAAATTCCAGTATACCGCCATTTGTAAACACTATAACGTTTACATAAACCAATTAATTTACATATATTTGGGATTTTATTTAGCAAAGACATGTAGCAGAATACATTTACCCTAAATTTATGAAGAAATGTGATTTTCTAAAAAATTTATATTGGACATGTTTAATAGCAAAAAGTAAAAAATATTGTTTTTTTTCTTAAAATTGTTGGTCTTTTTTTGTTTATAGCGCAAAAAATAAAAACCGCACAGGCAATCAAATACCACCGAAAAAAAGTTCCATATGTGGGAAAAAAGGAAGTAAATTTAATTTGGGTGCAGTGTTGCATGACTGCGTAATTGTCAGTTAAAGTAACGCAGAGCCGTAATGCAAAAAATGGCCTAGTCAGGAAGGGAGGTAACGCCTCAGGAGGGCAAGTGGTTAAAGGGGGGAACTAACTGAAAATAAAACATGTTTTCCTATAATCAAAATGGGAAAATGAAAATGTTACTTTATGGACCTAAATTTTACTGTCTGAAAAACTACCCCACAAACGATGATCAAAGCAAAATAAGTTTTAACAAATTCTGGTGAAGCAAAATTAATTTTTTTTCTATGTTAAGTATATTTATCCCCATTACCCTCAACCTTTTCATGGGGTTGATTTAATAGAGAATAAGTAGGGAATTTTCACATTATGAAGTGAACATTCACTTAGCTTAGTGAATACTTTAAAAGTGTCTTCAATTATTCAATCACCTGCAAACAAAAAAAATATTTTTAATTCCCCTGAATATGACTGGGTAATAAAATCACTCACTGTGCTATGTGGACACTCTCCACTCCACTCCACTCAATAGTAAATTGACCGAACTGAATTCTATCAATCACTAGCCAAGGATTGAAACTCAATGCTGAAAAGTTCCATCAGAAGAACACATCCCAAAAACAGAGCTCTTTCAAAAAGGAGAATGTTGGTTAAAATTGATATTAAAAAGAATACATCAAGCAAACCACAGTTACTGTAATTTAAACCATTTCAGTATTTGATTTATGCACTTTAAAAGAGTGTAAATGGATGCACTTGGATTGGTTTATGTTATGTGCATGCAATAACAACCTAAGCTTTTGTTCCATTAGCTTCCTGCAATGTGTTCTGCCAAATTAATGTCATAGTAATACACACCACTAGTAAGCACCTATTAAATGATCTCTGAGCCCATCTACAGTTTTCTGAGAACAATACAGTTAAAAAAATTTCATTTACTACAGTTAAAGTAGTGATTTCTTGGAGCACAATTTGTAATTCATGAAGAACTAAACAAAATACATGTCTAAATTGCAATTTGTTATAGACAAAAAGATTACAAGTCAACAAATATTTATCTAAATAATTATACAATAACAATACAAAGGTTTGGGTTAAATTAATCACTGAAAGACTAAAACTGAAATCTTTACCATTTTTTTTAATAACAATTTTATATTTAAACTTGTGAAATAAACCAGACTGTATAAAACAGTCATCTCAATATTAGTAATGCTAATTTCAATGTGTTTTTGACTACAGATGCTTCTCAGACCATGACAATAAAAGGCTGCTAGGGGTTCTATCTTTCCCATACCTCACTAAAAAGTTGTCTGTGTTGCTGTTGAATATTTTTTCTCAATCCCTGACTGGTAAAAAACCTCTATAACTGTTAGTGAGGGGACATTTCTAACAGAGCTTTGGATGGCCATAAAAAAAATATTTATTCCCCCATTACTGACTTTACTACTAATTGGAGAAAAAAAACACATTAGGGTTGATTTACTAAAGAATAAGTGTCTTTCAAAACTGAATGTTCACTTAGCTTAGTAAATAAGATGAAGTTGTGATTACTTTGAATGCGCAGTCATATGCCTGGGAAATGAAGAAAACAGGATTTTTGACTGAATATGACTGAATGATTGACATGAACATAGTTTTACCTTTTTCACTAAGTTAAATGAATATTAATTTTGAAAACTAATTTTGGAAACTGAAAATTCTCCTCCTTTAGTAAGTCAACTCCACTGAGAAATGTTTTTTTTCCAGTATTTTTTTCCAGTAATCAGTATTAGCAGTAACAGTGACAGAAATGAGAAGGAGAGCGCTGAGCAGCTTCAATCTGCCTTAAAACATGAGAACAGATTGTCATCTCAAGTCTTTATTTTTGGCAGTTATATTTGACCATAGCATAGCATAGGTCATGATATTTCTTCTTTGTAAAATCCACAATTTCAGTTGTCTTTTTTTATGCCCAAACAAGAGTGGGTGCTCTTGGTCTATTTGTCTAGATCAGGGGTAGGCAACCTGTGGCTCTCTAGCTGTTGTGGAACTACATTTCCCATGAGGCATTGCAACATTACAGAATTGACAGTTACAGCTATGACTTGCAGAGGCATGATGGAACTTGTAGTCCTGCAACAGCTGGAGAGCCGCAGGTTGCCTACCCCTGGTCTAGATCAATAAAAAAAGTTGAAACACTGGATTATACACTGTGCCACACTTTTTAAAAATGGATTATGTAAGTGCAGAATCTTGGTGAGTCTTGTAGGGACAATATCTCCCATTGAGTGGATAGCACCAGTTTATGGATTGTGAATGATGCTTATCCTGATGTGTACATATCTTAATATTAACATTAATGAGGAATGTATACATTTCTTGCAACAGGTAGCAAAACAACAAATTAATTTTTAACTTAGTTCAATTACGATTTCAGTATACCAGGTATACAACTTACATCATGAAAACAAGAAGACTGAGCAGCTCCAGCAACAGAAATTGGTCAAGGAAAAGGATTCATTAATTACTGACCAACCAGTAGTAATTTTACTGCTGGCTGACAGCTCCCCTGGGCACTGGGACATACCCATACCTTGCGCTGAACTTCCTGGTTTACAGGCAAGGGTACCCTCTGCTGCTCTGTGCTGTGGTTGGACACAGCATGAGTTTGTCAGCAGGCTACAGCCAATAATTTTGACTGTAAACCTGCTGATCAGTGTGACCAATCACAGCTCTAGCTGGTTGTTTCTCCCTGGTCTCAGTTACCATTTAGAACTGAAATCAAGGAGAGACCCAGTCAGTGAGTAATATCAGCACACATACACTTGCTAGTCACAGTTAACCCCTTGATTGCCTTTCTGGTCATCCCTGTCACTCAGCCAGTGTCATTAGTATAGTGACAGTGTACACTATTATCATTGATCACTGTATTACTGTCACTAGCAATGTCAGATAGTGCAAGAGTCAGGTAGTGTCCCTCTCAGCCAGTGTCCCTGTTGCAGTCCATGATTGCTCACCACACTATCACAGTCACACTATAAACACTATTACTAGTATAGAGTCTGTGTGGATCAGTATCCTGGTCACGAACAGAACTATGCGAGTGTCCCCAAATAGTATAGTGTCCTTAAAATCACTGCTAGCGCTTGCGTTTAGCTCTCCCCCACCCCAACAAGAGCAGTGTCAGTATAGTTTTTCTGATTCAGTGTTAGCCTGATCTCTAATTTTATTTCAAGCTTTCAAGCAGTCCCTGATTGCTAGCCATGAGCTCTTTCTCCCATAGTAGCTACTAGGTACCTGTAAAGTTAGTGCCCAAAATGTCCAAAAAAAGGCACACTAGTGAGGAGGCATACAGGATTCTATGCATGACAGATGAAAGTGAAGCAGAGGCCTCACTGTCAGAATCAGGCTCAGAGAATGGTGAAGAGGTCCCTGCTAAATTCAAACGTACCCGACTCTATGTTGCTAATGTGCTAGAAACACATATTTATGCTCAGATGCAGCAGGGCGCAAGTACTTGCACTGCACTACTTTTTGGTGATCTGGCAAGCACCAGTAGCGTATCACTTTCTGGCCTGTCAGACACCAGCACTGCAGTAATTCATGGTGATATGGTAAGCACAGTTGTGCAGTGCAAACTGGTGAGGCTGCTAGCACTAGTAGCATTAAGCAACCAAAGCCGCAAAAAATTCAAGCACAGGCCCATAGATCGCACGGTAGCCTTCCAGACATGCTTGCAAACTCTAATTGGCTGCCCCCAGATTCAACAGCACCTGTTATCCCTCCATTCACAGCCCAGGGTTTAGGTGGAAACAGCCAACATAGCAATGATCCTTGAATTTTTTTGAGTTGTTTTTCACCATAGATCCCAAACCTTGC